GAAGCAGGACCTTCCTAGGGGCAGCCCATGAAGACGCAGATCCCCCATCACCCTCCGGATGGCTCCCGGGAAGATGCTCCAGTACTTTGGGACAGACTTGCACTTTTTTTTTTTTTTTTTTTTTTTGCCCGGAGGGGCGGGGGAGGGCGTGTTGTCTTTATTTCCACCCTTTTCCACTAAAGACGGCCCCGATCTCCCCGCGGCCCCCCGAACCCCTCCCGGCGGGACGAGGGCGGGGGGCCGGGGCGGGCGGCGAGGCGCCCCGCAGCGGCGGGGGGGGGGGGGACCGGGGAGGGTAGACATTGCGCCGCCCGGGGCCGCCGCTCGCCCCGCCGTTCTCTGACGCTGGGAGCCATGTGATGGCCCCTCGCTATAAGGCGGGGAGGAAGGCCGCCCTCTCTGGGACTCGGCCCCAGCTTTTTCACTGTCTTTCCTACGGCCCGGCAAGCCGCCCCCTCCGCCCTCCCTCCTCGCCCGCCTCCTCCCCTCTCCTCCTCCCAGGACTAGGCGCGCTCCCTCCTGCCCCGCATCCACTAATGTCTGGGGGCTGAGGTGAGGAGAAAGAAGGGGGAACTGACTTCCAGGCGCGGCGGCACAGTCCCCCCGCCCCCAAACCCCGATCCCAACAAAAAAAAAAAAAAAAAAAAAAAAAAAAAAAAAAAAAAAAGAAAGAAAGAGGCCCCAAAAGACTCAAAAAAAAAAAAAAAAAAAAAAAAAGGGAGGGAAGGGGAAGAGAGAGAGAAATCCAAAAAGCCGCAAAAAATACCCCGAAACAAACCCCAAACCAGCCGCCGCATCCGAGCGGGCGGCGGGAGCGCTCCCGCGGCGCGGCGGCGGGGCTGGGGGCCGGCTCGGCTCGGAGCGGCCCGCCTGCCCGCGGCGGCGGCGGCGGCGGCGGCGGGGCGGCTCTCCGCGGAGCGGCGCGGGGGCCTGGCGGCGGCGGGGAAGGCGCCCGCCCGCCCGCCGCGCCGCGCCGGCCGCCACCGATGCGCTGCCCCGCCGCCGCGCCATGACCCTGAGCTCGGAGATGTCCGAGGCGTCGGCGCTGGCTGAGGAGACCGACATCGATGTGGTGGGCGAGGAGGACGACGAGGAGGACGACGAGGAGCCGCAGCCCCGCCGTCGCCGCCGCTCCTACGCCGAGGACGAGGAGGAGGAGGAGGAGGAGGAAGAGGACGAGGAGGATGTGGGCGACCTGCACGACGATGCCTTGCTGCCGCGGTCGCCCGTGCGCGGCGGAAGCGGCGGCGGCGGTGGCGGCGGCGGCGGCGGGGCGGGCGGCGGGGTCGGTGGCGGCGGCTCGCGGCCCCCCTCGCGGGGCGGCCCGCAGAAGGCGGCGGCGGGCGGCGGCGGCGGCGGCGGCGGCGGCGGCGGCGGCGGCGGCGGCACCGGGGGCGGCGGCGGCGGCAAGAACAGCCTGGTGAAGCCGCCCTACTCCTACATCGCCCTCATCACCATGGCCATCCTGCAGAGCCCCAAGAAGAGGCTGACGCTGAGCGAGATCTGCGAGTTCATCAGCGGGCGCTTCCCCTACTACCGGGAGAAGTTCCCCGCCTGGCAGAACAGCATCCGCCACAACCTCTCCCTCAACGACTGCTTCGTCAAGATCCCCCGGGAGCCCGGCAACCCGGGCAAGGGCAACTACTGGACGCTGGACCCCGAGTCCGCCGACATGTTCGACAACGGGAGCTTCCTGCGCCGCCGAAAGCGCTTCAAGCGGCAGCAGCTCCCGGCTCCCGAGCTGCTGCTGCGCGCCGTGGACCCCGCCGCCTTCCTCCCGCAGCCCCCGCCCCAGCCCCCGCAGCAGCCGCCGTGCGCCTACGGACCCTACGGCTGCGGCTACGGCCTCCAGCTCCAGCCCTACCACCCCCACTCCGCCCTCTTCGCCTTCCACCACCCCTCCCCGCCGCCCCGCCAGCCCCCCGCCGCCCCCGGCAGCGCCCCCGGCGCGGCGCTGCCCTCCGCCGCCGCCGCCGCCGCCGCCGCCGCCGCCGCCGCCGCCGCCGCGCCGCCGGGCCCCTTGCTGCCGGCGGCGGAGCTGGCACGGACGCCCTTCGGCTACGCGCACCCGCTGGGCCCGGCACTGGCGGCCTCGCTGCACGCCGCCAAGCCCGGCAGCGGCGCGGCGCTGGCCCGCTCGCCCTTCTCCATCGAGAGCATCATCGGGGGGGGGCCCGGCCCCGGCCCCGGCCCCGGCCCCGGCCCCGGCCCCGGCCCCGGCCCCGGTGCGGGCAGCAGCTGCGCCTCGCAGTCGGCCGCGACGCCGGGGCTGGTCCGGTCGCTGGGGAGCGCCGGGGGCGGCCTGCCCCCCGCCGCCGCCCTGCCCGCTGCCCCCGGCTTCGCGGCCCGGATCTCTAACTGTTAAGGGTTTGGGAGTCTTTCCGAAGGTAGGATTTGGGGTATCTGCTTTCTCCGCCGCTTGGATGCGCGGCGGACGCCGCCCGGATGGCTGCGGGCTTTGCTTGGGGATTGCGCGGTGGGGCTCGGGGGGTGTCCGCCGAGGACGGCGGGTCGCCCGGGACCTGCATTTTTTGCAAAGCCGGGTCTAGATGTTGCACGGGCAGGCTGTCACGCTATTGGAAAGTTACTCGTTACTCCTTAGAAAGAAAAAAAAAAAAAAAAATGAGGATAATGGTGATAAATAACGTCTCTGAACCGTTAAAGTTCAGAGATTCTCAGGTCTAGGAGCTTGAAAACAGTAATGTACATGAAAAAAAAAAAAAAGGCTTGAGGGAGGACAGCAAAGCAATACTTCTTCATTTTAGTACACTTGTCTCATGTACTTTTATAAAAGAAAAGATTAACATGTTTACACAGAAGAAAGTCAAGATTATAATTTCTTATTTTAACCTGTGTTTTGTATTATAATAGACTTATGGAATTTTTTATTTTGTACTTTATGCTTATTCTTTACAAGGAATATTGTTAAAAATTACTGGCAAGTATTATTGTACCATTTTAATGTAAAATTTTTACACATTTTCAAAAATAAAATTTTTAATTTTCAAAAAAAAAAAAAAAAAAAAAAAAAAAAAAGCAAAGCCAAAAAAACAAACCCAAAGACCAAAGGAGCCCAGCCAAACAATTGGCTTCGGACCCTTCCCTCCTTAATACTTCTCCCTTCTTGGGAAATTGGTATTTTTTTCTTCGGGATTAATAGCACAATAACTAAGGAATTTTACAGCTTGAAATTTATTGTGTCTGGATTTGACCGCGAAGAAGATCAGAATATGAGCTTTGCAGTCAAACCATTGTTAACCCTAGCAGAGAATGAAGCAGAAAAAAAAAAAAAAAAAAAAAAGAAGCAAGGACAAAAGAGGGAATAAATAGAAACAGGTCTCTTTCGCGGGAGTAAAGCCCAGTTCTGTAAGGCACCAATCAGGGGATTGATTAAAAAGCCGGTTTAAAACTATTTTTGTACTTTTGGGTGTGTTCTGAATCACAACTGCATGACAGCTTGGTTTCCAAGAGGCCCAAAGGAAAATACTACTAATAAGGGGCACGTACTGAACTTCAGATAGATTTGTCCTAGACATTTATGTTTCTGTGATGATAATAAGGACATGTGTTTCTATTTTTCAATACATATAATATAAAATGAGCAGTGAAATATCGTCGTGTGATGGGCTGATTAAGTGCACGAACTATTGAAGTTAGGATATGCGCGTGTACGAAACAAAACATGAAATCAGCTTTTCTGATTTTGAACTCTCGTCTTAACCCACATAAGGTCGATAGATACCTATTTGATAGATTAAAATTGTTTTTTAACCAAAAAGCCCGCCTCAAATATTCAGATCTTAGGCATGAAAAGAGAATCGTAGGTTTTAAGAGTGGGCGTGTGATTGCTTGTTGTGGACTAGGAACACGCGTTTTTCAAATCAGGGAGGCGCTTTTCAAGTACGACTGTATTTATAACAATTTAGTAGATTCAGGGATAAATTGTGTGAATTGTCGTAAAAAAATAAAAAAAAAAAAAAAAAGGAGGGATGCCTTTTAGTGCTCTTTGGAGTGAGGAGGGGGAAGGTTGTGTGGTTACATGCTTTTACTCATCGAAGTACCTCATCGCCTTGGTTTTAAGTGTTCCCGTGGATAGAAAAGTGATAGTTTTCTGTTTTGTTTGTAGCAATGCAGGGTTAAAATAATGGTTTTCAATAAGTGGAAAGACCGGACGTTAAGATCTCTGCTAGGCTCCATTTTCAGTCTGCGGCTGGAGGGCCCCTTTGGGTGTCCCGGGTCCCTTAGAGGGCAAGGAAGTAGAGTCCCGTTTGATTTCTAGAACTAAAGGCAGAAGACCCCAGAGGCACATACCCTTCGGGGAGAGCGCATCCTTTCTGGGAGGGACCGATTAACTCGCCTTCCCCGGTCCCGGACGGGGCGGGGGTGCGCCGGGCCGCCGCGCCAGCCCAGCGCCGGGTACCGAGCTCGGTTGTGGCACCCCTCGGAGGTGCGGCTCCAGCCAAGCGGGGAAAGGTTTTGCGGGGAAAAAGGCGTCTGTAGCCGTGACAGCGGCGGTGCCGGGTTCCCCGGGGCGGGGTGCTGCTTGCGGTCGGTCTGGCTTCTGGCTGCCCGAGCAGCGGCCCGGGGCGAGAGGCCGTGGGGGTCCTTGGGGTGTCCCGCTGCCGTGAGGCGCGAAGAGGAGGCTCCTGCAGGCCGGTATTTATCTCTCTTGGCTTCCCCGCAGCAAACCCGGGGGGACCCGGCGACCTGCCCGGCGCGGAGGCCGGCCCGGCCCGGCCCGGCGGGGTCCGAGCCTGCCTGCCGCCCTTCCCTCTTCCGAGGAAAACCGTGTTCAAAGGTGTTTGGCAAGGAAACTGCTCGGCCGCTCGTTCCTTCTACGCTTTGTGCCAGTAGACTGCATCCCGTGCGGACGGGGCCTTTACCTGGGGAGTTGGTAGGGAAGCTGGCAGGAACAAACTGCAATAGGTGTCGTAGATTTTTTTTTTTTTTTTTTTTTTTTTTTTTTTTTTTTGAATCGCTGAGGACAGGAGTCGGGAAAGGGGACCTGTGGTGTTGGGGGAAGACCCCTTCGCTTCTCTTCTCCGAGCCCGCGGGGAAGCCACCCGGCCTGGGCCCCGGGGCCCGGCGGTCCCGGTTCCCCACGTCGCTTATACCAGAGCAGGTGCCGCCAGAAAGGGCGCCGGCCCCGCAGCCCTTTGATGGGCTCCCCCCGCGGCACCGCCGGGCCGCAGAGCCCCATTCGCATGCAAATGGCCCGCCGTGCCCCTCCGGCTTTCAAGGGGAACAGAGGGTACGAGTAGTTGTCACAGGGACGGACCCCGGAGGAACAAATCCTCCGAAACAGGCTGGGCCCTGATAAACAAGCTGGTAGGACAAACAGGGTGGTGTCGCCTCCTTCTCCTCCTCCCAGCTACAAAGTGTGGATTCATTAACCCGTCTCCTTTTCTCATCATATCCCCGTAGGGCTGAGAGACGAATTACTGGAGCTGAATTGGGAGGGGATTGCTCTATGAGGGGGCTAATGTTTCAATCAGTTCCTCCAGAAGGACCACACAAAAAGAAACTTTTTAGTTTATGGTGCTATTATGCAGAGTTTTAATCTAGGGATAGATTTAGCCAAATGTTATCTATTGGGAATTTAATGAAGCCCTTATGTATTCAATCGCTTTTTATGCCACACACAGTGTCTCTATCCAGAAACGTTTCCTTCCACATATTTCTTTGTTTCTGTTGGGTGATTTATATATTTTTTAATTAGGTTTTTAAATAATTGCTTCTTTTCAAGCATCTTGTATAACGTTTCTCTCAAGTAGGACCGCGTTAGGTCCCTTCCCACATCCCCTATAAATGAAGACTCCCCTTCCCTCCCCCGTTTCGAAGCTGATTATTTTGCACGTCCACACACGGCGCCCGTCCCGCCGGAGCGCTCCCCCAGCCTTGCGCGGAGGGGCCCGGAGCAAGCCGGCCCCGCCACCACCGGCATGGGCTGCAGCGGGCAGCGCGGCCCGGGGGTTCGGCCGACCCCTACGCCGGTCTCCTTCCGAACCTTCCCCATCCGCAGCCCTCCTCCTGCCATACATTCGCTCCTGGTCATTTTTCTGGTGCACCCCTGGGGGCAGCGAGGTGTTGGCTGGTGCAGCCCCCGCCCTTGCAGGCTGGTTTCAGGTACCCAGGGCCAACCCCATCCCCGAGTCGGGAGGGTAAAAGGCGGGGGGGTGGAGGCCTCACCTGCTTTCAGCCGCTCCCTCCCTTGCAGCGCTAGTGGCGAGGGCAGAGCGCACGGTCGCCCCCGCCGACACTGAGGCCTGTGCGGGGGATCTCTTGGAAAGTGGATCTTGTTTAATTGTCCCTTGGCACGGCCGCGGGCTCCGCGCCGTATGTAATACTTTCCCTCATTACTTACAGTAAGTACTTCAGTAGTCTCAGATAATACTGTATTCGACAGAAATCATGGAAGTTACGGTCGTGGCCAAACGCTTCTTGCGCGGGGACTTGCTAACCAGAGCAGATCCCTTTTCCAGCTTGCTACCGGCGCCTCCCCCGTCAGCAGCGAAGTTTCTCCCGCTCCCCTTTCGGCGCGGCGCCGGGCCGCACACACCGACGGGACCCGGGGACCGGCGGGGACCGGCCGCCGAGGGCCCGGCGCCTCCCGAGCAAGGTAGGTGTCCTCCCGCCCTTCGCCCCCGCTCCCCCGGTGACCTGCCGCAGGTGACTGCAGGGATCCTCCGCCCTTCTCCGTAAGTCCTTTCCCCTCCGCACCGCCCCCCCCTCCGCCGTGACAGCCACGTCGAGCAGCTGCCGTGGGCCCTCCGCTCGCTGCCCCTTCCTGCGCCGCGAATCGCGACTGAGATGCGGAGGAAAGATTGGTGCAGAAATGTGTGTTATGTACGTGTGTGCAGAAAAATGGCACTCCCGACGGTAACGAGCTGATTTCGGATCCGTGCTGCGGCAGCAAACGTGCTCGTTGCCTCCCTGTGCAGATGGGTGCCCATCGATTTGAGGGGCAGGCGGAGACCTGTAGGCGAGCCCCAGATCGGTAAACCCCTTGTTTCTGTTTTTCTTTTGCAGAACAGCGCCGTTCCCCCGCCCGGAGGGGTGCTGCGGGCTGTCGACCCCGCAGCCCCCCCGGCCCCTTCCCTGCCGCCCGGCCCGGCTAGCCGCGCAGCTCCCGGCTCGACCCGCAAAAGCAGAGGCAAAGCCTGCCGGGCTGGCGAAGGGGTGTGGGGGGGCTTCCGCAGGGAGCCCCGCAGCAAAACTCGCGGCCCGCCCGGCTGCAGCAGCGCGGGTGGTACCGCGGGCTGTGCGCGGCCGCGCAGCGGGGCAGAGCCTCCGCGGCTACATCTGTTCTTTGCTCGGAGCGCGCCCGTGGGAGCGGGGAGGCACCCAGCGGCGGCTCAGCGGGAATCACCGCGGGAAACCAGTGGAAGATGCGTGTCATAAGAATGTGTGCCTTTAGTGCAGGTGGCCGGCTTCACAGGCTCCCGCGGCGAGGGGCAGCGGGGCTCCCGCTGCGGTCTGCGCCCAGCAGGAGAGGAGAGACCCACCGGCTAGGCCCCGGAGTGCCCAGAAAGTAGGAAAAAATACGAACTGGACTGTACGAAAGAGGTTTTTTGTTTTTTTTTTTTTTTTTAATGCCGTGTCTAGCCAATTTCGGAAATTATATCGTCGAGTTGAATTCAGAGGGAAAGTTGTGTGGTTTTTTTAAATCAAAATAATTAAACTTGCCCTTTCTCCAAACCACAAGAGACCTGTTGAAATGATTCTAAGTTTCCCTTTCGTTGATGGAGCAAAACGGCATGCACAAGTCTGCGGGGCCCCATATTTAGATGATAAATTATACAATTTATGTTGGAAGCAAAAGGATAAATAGAGATTTCAGTTGTTGCATTAATTCGTTGTCTGAGGCTGGGAAAGACTTATCCACGGCTAATCCGAAGGTATTTCTCTCCCCCCCGCGCAACAGAAAACCGTCTGCATGGATCGAAACGCGTGCTGACGCTCAGGCGTGTGAGCCCGGGGCCCGGTGCTGCCACCGACCCGCGCCCACGCGTCTGTGGCAGTCGCCCCGGCAAATGCCCACACTTTGGAGAATCCTTGTAAAAAACAGGGATATGGGTCTTCCTACCGCAGTGAACGTGGGTCTGCTTCTCAGATTTCTTTACGGGAGAGCACATGCACACCTGCACACACGAAATACGTTAAATACACACAGTCAAGATAAATGAGGTGTCTTCCTCGGGTTTTCTTTTCGTAAAATAAACACTGTCACGTCTGCTTATTCAGCAACCACTAGACGAAACTGATGGCTTTCTAATATACGTGTATACAGTGAAATTCCACCTGTCGGCTGCACGAAGGAAGGGGTAAGGGAAGGCAGTCTCTTCGGATCAATAGTTCACGATTAAAGAAACCTTTGGTGGGGAAAAAAAAAAAAAAAAAAAAAAAAAAAAAAGAGGAAGAAAAAACCCCCACAACAATAAAATCAAAACTTGTTCAGCACAGAGCTAGGAGGGGCAGGTATGTCAGGTGACTGGTTTGCCCAAAACTGTATAGGGTCGGAAATTAGGAACCGTGGAAAATAATTTACCCTAGTCATTCCATCCTGCCTCTGATTGCACAAAAAACCGCCTGGAGCAGCTCGGTAGGTTCTGCCAAACATCTTTCTCGCCTTCCTGGAAGCCCTTCACTTGTCTTTCTCCGTGCAGACGGCGCTGTGTGTGGGGCAGCGCACACGAGTGCGTGTCCTCGCACTGCCCCGCAAGCGCTCGGCAGCCGGCGGCCCCGCTAACACCAAACCGCAGACCTCCTCCCCGCTGCCTGCCGCTTCTGTACGAGAAGCCAAAGGGCGGCCCTTCTCTGGAAATTAACCTCTTTAGATCGTTTTCAGCACGACTCCCCTCGCGATGGCTCTTCCCGGGGTGTTCAGACATCTGCCGACCGGGGCATGTTTTTCGGGGGAGACCCCGGTCCCGCCCGCGCACCGGAGCAGGGCTACCGACAAGCGACGTGGATGTGTCTGCTCTTAAACCGACTCCCTTCCCCTCCAGCCTCCTCCCCAAACAGAGGAAGCCCGCAACAACGTGCTAACACACGGGCAAGCCAAACCCAGCGCTCTCACAAGAGCTTTTGAACCCAGCCCCGGAGCTGCTGCTGCGCCTGCGGCTGCGAGACGACGCGGTTCGCCCGGATGAGCGGCGCAAATCTCCGCGGCCGCGCCGGGGCAGAGCCGGGGACACTGCAGGGAGCCCTCCTGGGGGGGACCGACTGCTCCGGGCCGCCTCCCGGCCCCGGGTCCGCTGCCTCGGCTGAGCTGGGCACCCGGCCGCCCGGCGGGGAGCAGACCACAGCTGCCGTCGAGAGAACCCCCCGGGCTGATAATCCGCCCCGACACGGACAACCTGTGGCCCAGCCCGGTCCTGCCTTCGACACCCACGCGGGGCGTTTGGAGACACCGTGGGGCGATGGGGGGCCGGGGAGGGGGGGCCGTGCGGGGAGCCCAGTGCTGGAGCTGTAAATCCCTCGGCAATTGAGTTCTGCACCTTTGATTTGAAAAATCGGATTCCTTGAGTGGAAACAGTTGACAGGAACCTAAAAGGATTAGCTGCATTCCACACAGGATCATTTTTACTGGTAACATTTTGAAACGATTGATCCCTTCCAGACCATAAACAATGTCCAGAAAAATGATCTAACGAGACTTCCATTGTTTCCTTTTGTCTACGAATCCCCTTTCGCCAGCGGTTTGATTAGGGACTTTGACAGGCTGGGTCTTAATTCCACCCCCTGCCCCCCGCCCCCCCCCGCCCCCCCCACCTTTTCCCGAGCGAACTATTGAATTTGAAATCGCTCACAATTTGTTCCTTAATCACGATCTGTCAGAAAGCGTGTAAGTGCGGGGACGGGCAGGTAGGAGGGGAAGAAGCAAGGAGAGCGGGCGGAGAGGTGGATTCGGTTGACGCAGGGTGCCGAAATGAGAGGTGGGGACCTTTCCCTCCGCCATGCTTCGTCCTGCGGGCTTTTGTGCCGGCCTGGCGGAAGGGAGAGAAGGGGAAAATCCACCGGTGGATACGGTCGCCCGGGCCGTGGCGAGGAGAGGACCCCACGCACGGCCTGGTTCCCCGCCGTGGCCCCGAGAAGCTCGCGATCCGCCGGCCATGCCTTGTGTCGCCCCCACGCCCCCCCCTCCCCGTCCCGCCTGCGGGCAGGAGACTTACCAGGGTGACGTTAGCGGGGGGGGGGGGGGGGGGGGGAGGGGGGAGGGGAGCGAGGAGGCCCGGCCCTGCCCTGCCGTGCTGGCCGAACGACTCGTCCTCTGTTTTGACACCTCCGCGCACTGCACCATGCTCCTCTCCCTGATTTATCTCCCAATTAACGGCTCAGTCCGCCTCAAGCCACCCGCGCTGCTTCCCTCCGCACCTTCCTCCCTGCGAGGAGGCTGTGGTGGGCTGGAATGTGGGGCGGAGACCCTCCTTCAGCCCCCCCGCCTGCCCTTGCACCGCGACCAGACCCTTATCACGCATCCCTGCACAAACGCAGCTTCGACGGGGTCTCTGTGGCTCCCGGGTCTCCGATCCCCGGCGACAGCCTGGGAGGCGATGGGCCCAGGTGGAACCTGAGAAGCAAGCCGCTTCCCGGCGCCTTTCCCTTTTTCTTCCTCCCCCCTCAAAGCGTGTGTGATCGCGGCGCTCCACGCCCCAGCGGTGAGACGGAGGGGGCCGGAGCTGTGCCCCGACGGCGCGGCCCGGCCCGGGGCTGTGTCATGCAGCAGGGAGCGCTTCCAGCCCGGGATGGCAAACAGCCAAACCCACCGGAGGAAAACCCGGCCAGGAAAGGCACCTTAATTATATATCCCCTTCAATTAAGGGACAGCAGCTCCTTCCCCTCGGATTCTTCGGGATTGGCCCTTCATGTCAGGCTCCGGGATTCTCCTTCTTTCTCTCTTGCTTTTTTTTTTTTTTTTTTTTTTTTTTCTTCCTTTATTTCTTTTTCCTCCCACAGAGAATAAGCTGCTCTCCGGCACAGATTGGCAGCATTGAGCATCTTCCTAACTTAACTCTGTCTTCCTTGCATCTATCAATCCACCTTTCTAATTAGACTAATTAGAAGATATGTGGAGTGTTGCTGGGTCCATACACTAAACTGCTTAGAGCTTGTGAAAGGAAGGCTGAATGCCCGCCATGGGAGGTGGCCATTCAGAGGGACGGTAACAGTTGCTACATTTATCTCCTGCCATTGAAAAGAGCTCTGCTTAAAGCTCGATTAAAATGTTTGGAAACTAATGCCACCCTGGATCCCTCTCTAATTAGATGTCCTGGATAGATCACCCTGAGCAGTCAAAAGAAACTCCTTCCCGGGCCTGGCTTTTCTGTTCAGCAGAATTACTTCTCTCCAGTACGGCCCCGCCCCCACCTCGAAAAGAGAAAAAGGGGGAAAAAAAATAAAGAAAAAAAAAAAAAGAGAGAAAGAGATAACGCAGCTATATAAACGGAGGGCAGAAAACTGGCAGTAGGCCGAAGTCTTGGTCCCCAAGGGTTATGTGCGGCCTCGGCTTTTCTGCTCGCAGGCTCAGGCTCTCCGTCCTCAGGGTTTCCCGGGGTGCTCCGGACTCCGGCGGAGCCGCGGGGGAGGGGACCTGGATTGGGATCCCCACCGAGGAGGGATCTCGGGGAAGGCGAAAAGGCCGTCACCCTCCTCCTCTGGCCGAGCGCGGCCGCGGTGCGTGTGCAGGTGCGGAGCCCGGCCCGCGGCTCTCCGCTTTGCCTCGCTGCCCTCCCCGCTGTGCCGCGCCGGCCTGGGTCGGAAAGCACCGGCGGGGTAAAAAAAAGGGGTGGAGGGCGGGTGGGGAGAAGTCACCCGCCGGGGGGGGCGGGGCTCCTGCCCCCAAAACGCGGCCTGCGGGAAGCCCGGGCGGGCCGCTGGGCGGGGTGGGGGAAGCGCGGCTGCAAATCTCTCCCCGGGGTGCCCTGTGCCTCCGACTCGGAGCTGGGAACACCACCCCACCCCCGCCCTCGCTCACCCAAATAGGCACACACGTGTTCGCACCCCCCCGGAGCAGCTTAGACCCGGGTTTCCTGCAGCAGGGCCCCGGGGTGTGCGCCGGTAGCCCTCGGGGCGCCCCGCTCCCGGGGGGGCCCAGCCCCGGCAGAGCACTGCCTGTCTGGGCACCTCGTACATCTGCGGCGCCGCTTCTTCCCCGCACGATAGAGGGATTTTTGTCCTCGTAAACGCGGGTAAAAGCTTGATGCTGACGGAGGAAAAGAAGAGGAAAAACTGTCTCTTCATTAACGCCACTCTGCTGTACGCAGATGCTTTCATTTACAGGCTAGATATGACCAAAAGAGCCTGAAAAGAGCTCGCACTCATGACTTGCCAGGCGGCGAACACCCGACAGCCGGTGCCGAAGACGACGCTCACCCGGGGGGGTCCGCAGCCCCCTTGTGCCGGCAAACAAGGGCGCGGGGGCTCAGGCGGCCCTGTCGGTGCCGTCGTGGGGGGCTGGCGGTGTGGATTTCACTCCGGGGTCTTTGGTGGTTGTGTTGCACCACGTGTCAGTAGAGCGGCGTAAGGTTGGCATGGGATATTTTTTTTATTTTTTTTTTTTTTGTTAAGAACGACTCGATGGGCTCTTCTGGAGAAACAGCTATATATGCCAGGAGAAAGTATGTGCGCCCCGTTCTCCCTGCCTTTCCCCAGGAGAGGCCCCTTTGAGCTGCCGGCGGGTGGGACCTCGTGGGTGAGAG